GGGAAGTTATAGGCCAGAATATGAAATATGAAAGATGTTGGTTCTGATTTTGGGTTCCGCCTGCCAATCCCTCCCTAAGCAGAGTATTGGTCAGTTACTCAGAGCCACCCCCCTGCTGGGGGACTTTAAAAAACAGGCTAGCAGGCCTAAAGAGCAGTCTTCTCCAAATTTTAACATCAATATACCACCTGGGGAGACCTTTCGCTCTGAAATGTGATCTGCTTCCATTCAAGGCTTAAATGGCAAGTAACTTAACCCTTTAACTTCTCCTATTATCTCTTTGCTGTGATATGGTTCTTTGTGTGTATATATATATATATATCTTAGTTACATCTTCTTCTGTAAATATTTTATTGCACCTGTTTGACTCTTTTAGTAATAAATCTTTCTTTCTGAAAGTGTTAAACTGTTTCTAAAGCGCTTAATTGCAATTTATGAATTCCTGCCTCTAAAGAGACGCTACTGTGTTTGTCTAATCCTCTGCCCAATCGGCCTGTGGTGACCGTATTGGACAGACGACTTTTCAACCATTATAGTGTATATTTGATAAAGAGAGTTTCCTCTTTCTCTGTACAAAAAGGAGTGGTGGCAGTGAAGGGTTAGTTGCGTAATTAACCCGGCCCAGTAACAATCGCTTAGGCTGACGGCACATCGATGGGTTGACCATTAGCTGTAAAATCGTTGTGCAGGGTGCAGCTGGGTGTGGTATTGTTACGCACGTCACCTCGCAGTTTTAGATCGGCCAGTCCTTCGGTCACGAGTGAGAAGGTCTGGGGTCTGACGCCGCGATCGTGACATATTGTTGGCAGCGTACGTGGGAAAATTGCATTAAGAGCTTCAGTGCAGTGTTAAAAAATTGGCTCTGCACTGAAGGACTGTAACCTTTGTGGAAACGGTCCTTAGAAACAAGCAGTGCATATTTTTATATATATATATATATATATATATATATATAGAGAGAGAGAGAGAGAGACATATAGCAACAGCTCCTTCCTTTTCCTACTTTCTCCTCTATCTTTGCTTGCAACTATGCCTGGTGTAGCAGAATACGAGAAAATGAGCAAAGGTGACTTGAAGGCAGAATGTACCTCACGAGGATTGGACGTCAGTCACAAAAATCATGAAGATTTGATTAGTGATCTAGTGGAGTATGATATCCGAGCAGATCAGAACTCGGGGGAACTTGAACATGAAGAGGTTCCTGCTACCCCCACATTGCCAGTGGCTCAGAGACGGCCTCACAGGATGGGCATACAGAGACTGACACTGGAAGATCACCAAATGTTATCGTCACACCCCTGCCTGAGCGGGCCAGCACTGGAGTGCCTGTAACCAGCAGAGACTCTCCTCAGATGCAGGAAGCCCTGAAACGCCTGATGGAGACAGATCTTGAGGCATACCTGCGGTTCCTTGAACGCCAGGCTGACAGAGAAACTGCGGAACGCCAAGCAGCGGCTGACAGAGAAACTGCGGAACGCCAAGCAGTGGCTGACAGAGAAAATGCAGAACTCCAAGCTGAAAGAGTGGCTGAGAGAGAGGCGGTGCAGGGGGAAGCTGATCATCGGCACGAGCTGGAGATTGCAAGGCTCCAGCAGCGACCGGGTCAGAACAGCCAAGTTTCCAGTGATGGAAAAAGACAGCGACATTGACACATACTTACATACTTACTGTCAGTACCACGGATGTGGTGAGTCGCTTACGCACCACATTTCCGACAGTGGACTAAGGGACTGAAAGCTGACTCCTACGAGTCTTTGGAAGATCTTATGATACGAGATCAACTTTTGCACATTTGCCCGGCAGAAGTCAGACAGTTCGTCTTGGAGAGGGAGCCAGCATCTACTAAAGCTGCAGCAGATCTGGCAGATACCTTCGTCCACACGAGGGTGTCTGACCCTAGCAAGGCTCCTCCGAATGGCTGGAAAGGGGGGAAATCGCCCCTAGCAACATCTCCTACTTCGGTGAGTCAAGCTTCTCCTCCGCCCACACCTGCAGCACTTGGAGCCAAGCCATCCCTGCCTGACACCCGCCGATGTTTCACCTGTGGGAATCCGGACATCTCAGGACGTAGTGTCCTGAGCAGAAGTAGACGACATCATCTGGCCAGCCGGCCAGCAACTCTTCTTCTGTGCTGTTCATTCACAGGAAGATGCGGGTAACCCCTGCCAACCTGCAGCAAGTTACCGTGGGCAACCGGTCTGTAACTGGTTTTCCTGGACACCGGGGCAGAAGTCACCTTGATCTGTCTAGAGCTGATTGAGCAAAGGAACCTCATCCCAGGAAAGTTCCTTACCCTCACCGGAGTTGGGGGGACCCGTTCACGCATACCCTGTGCAAAGGTATTCCTAGACTGGGGTGCGGGGAGGGGGATGAGAGAGGTGGAGGCCTCGGATGAATTTCCCACACCTGTCTTGTTGGGTGCTGAGCTAGGCACTCTTGTTTCTTATTATGCCCCTGCCGAGAATACCCGGAAGGGCCCCCTGGAACTCTCTGGACATGCCAAGGTACTGTGGGCAGATATTTGGGAAATGTCTGGGCCACCTGTGGATGGACAGAGGGAGGGGGCTGGGAATGGAGTGGGGCTACAGGATTCTCCATTAGCTGGAGAACAAGAAGAAATCCCCTTGCCTGAGGAGGTATCGAACTCATGTGTCATTGATATTATAAACGTGACTGTTGATAATGGTTGTGATGACAATGGGGATGATATTAATAATGTCAGTAACATTGATAGTAATGTCATTGATAATGTCAGTAATGTTGATGAGAATGTTGGTAGTGCTAACAATGATTATGATATTCATGATGAAACAAATGATGCATTTTCAGTCTTGGGGGTCACCCACAGTGCTATGAAGAGGGCAGAGGTACAATCTCTGGGGGCTGAGCAAAGGGAGGGTCTGGATAGGCCTGTTTCTTGCCCAGGCTCAAAAGATTATGCCTTGATAAGTGACCAACCGTTGGTCTTGCATAGGACTGGGCCGCCGGCTGGGTCTTGTAGTTCCACGCATCAGGCAGCACTGAAAAGCGATTCCCAAAGGAACTTCAGAGGTCAGCTAGCTGTGAGCTGCCCTGCTAAGGGGGGTACACAACAACCAGCTGGGACTTGTAGTTCCACGCATCAGGCAGCACTGAAAAGCGATTCAAAAAGGAGCTTCAGAGGTAAACTAGCTGTGACTTGTAGTTCCACGAGTAAGGCAGCTCTGGAAAGCCATTCATATGGGGATTTCAGCCTGGGGCTAGGTGTGAACTACCCTGCTGGGAAGAGTCAACACAGGCCTGACAGGACTAATGGCCTATCCCCAGGGGGCTGGAAGCCTGAAAGCCTGTCAGTTGATCTGACTTGTCATGGTGTGTCAACAGGCAGACAAACAGATGTCATAGGCAGAGACAGCACGCTTGGATTGGGGATGCAAGGGGCCTTATTGGGGTGGATGCGTGGATTACAGAGAGAGGGATGCAGTCCTCAAATCCAATCGCCCCACCCTGCCCCTCAGGTTCCGAAGCTGCTGGCAATACCTGTGATAGATGGTGTCCGGATACAGGAGGTGCAGGCTGACTGGGGCACAGAGACCAAGGGAATGGCACAGTCAGGAATCCAGGGGTCAGCTAGAGTCTGGGCATCCCCGGTAGTCTTGGTCCTCAAGCAGGATCAGATGACCAGGCTTTCTGAGGACCTTGGAAAACTGAACGCTAGCCCTGTGGTTGTGGCCTACCCCATGCCCAGGAGCCATGGGATCATGGAGCATCCGGAGGGTGCCCGCTGTTTTACCATCATGGACCAGGGCAAGGGGTATAGGCCACCTTCTCTAACCCAGCAGGCTCAAGAAACCAGCCAGCCTTCACTACCCCATGTGGCTTGCCCGAATCATGGGAAGGCTAGTAGGGGTTGAGAATGCACCAACCACCTGTCAGGGCTCCCAGGTGTGACCAGAGATGTGTGACTGACGCAGGGAAACGCAGACCTCAGATATGTTATAAACAATATAATTTATTAACACTAACAATACAAACATAAACGCAGTGCAATACTAAAACATAATACAGTGCAAACAAACCAAACCAAACCACCCACAGATAACAGTACATACAAGCAAGCATCGTCAGGCAGGCCGGGTCAATATCAATAGGGCAGGTAGGTACAGGGGGAGCAAGCGGAGATTGGTCAGGGTCACAAGCCAGGGATCAGAACAGGTAGCAAGCAGCGTGGTACAGAGGGTCAGACAGAGGGATGGTCAGGAGCGAGCCGGGATCAGAGCAGGAGAAGTCAGCAGCGGTTCAGAAACAGGATGCAGGACAGAAACAGGATGCAGACAGAAACAGGATGCAGGACAGAAACAGGATGCAGGGCCCAGGACAAACACACACCAAGGCAGAGTCTGTGGGTCTGGCCATCCCTTAAATACCCCAGCATAATCAGTTACAGGTGTTAGCTGGCTGCAAAGTTGAGTCTCTGATTGCTGGGAACACCCGCTGGCCAGCCCTGGTACTGCAGATCAAAAGGCAGGTGAGAGTCCCACCATAGCTGGCCAGTCCATTCCTGACAGTACCCCCCCCTCAAGGAGCGGCCTCAGGACGCTCCAAACAGTCCTAGCTGGGAAAAATGTTCCACCGCCCCGGGTCTGGTAACTGGCGGGATATCAAAGACTGGCACACCGGGCAGGACTCCCGGGCAGCGGTACACCGGGCAGAGGCACATCGGGCTGGACTCCGGGCAGAGGCACATCGGGCTGGACTCCGGGCAGAGGCACATCGGGCTGGACTCCGGGCAGAGGCACATCGGGCTGGACTCCGGGCAGAGGCACATCGGGCTGGACTCCGGGCAGAGGCACACCGGGCAGAGGCACACCGGGCAGAGGCACATCGGGCTGGACTCCGGGCAGAGGCACACCGGGCAGAGGCACACCGGGCAGAGGCACACCGGGCTGGACTCCGGGCAGAGGCACACCGGGCTGGACTCCGGGCAGAGGCACATCGGGCAGGACTCCGGGGCAGAGGCACATCGGGCAGGACTCCGGGCAGAGGCACATCGAGCAGGACCCCGGGCAGAGGCACATCGAGCAGGACCCTGGGCAGAGGCACATCGAGCAGGACCCCGGGCAGAGGCACATCGGGCTACCAGGCGAAGCAGCAGGCAGCGGGCCACCGGGCGGGGCGACAGGCACCGGGCCCCCGGGCGGGGCGACAGGCCTCGGGCCCCCAGGCGGAGAGCGGCGGGCGCCGGACCCCAGGTGGAACTACAGGTCTCGGGCCCTCAGGCGGAGCGGCGGGCGCCGGACCCCCAGAAGGAGCGACAGGTCTCGGGCCCTCAGGTGGAGCGACAGGCATCGGACCCCCAGGCGGGGCGACAGGCATCGGACCCCCAGGCGGGGCGACAGGCATCGGACCCCCAGGCGGAGCGGCGGGCGCCGGACCCCCAGGCGGAGCGTCAGGTCTCGGGCCCTCAGGCGGAGGACGGATCGGACCCCCAGGCATCGGACCCCCAGGCGGGGCGACAGGCATCGGACCCCCAGGCGGGGCGACAGGCATCGGACCCCCAGGCGGGGCGACAGGCATCGGGCCCCCAGGCGGGGCAACAGGCATCGGGCCCCCAGGCGGAGCGGCGGGCGCCGGACCCCCAGATGGAGCGACAGGTCTCGGGCCCTCAGGCGGAGCAACAGGTCTCGGGCCCCCAGACGAAGCGGCGGGCACCGAGTCACCAGGCACGACAGTGGGCACCGAGTCGTCTGGCAAGACTGCGGGCACCGAGTCAACTGGCGGAACAGCGGGCATCGAGTCAACTGGCGGAACAGCGGGCACCGAGTCAAGACTGCGGAACAGGCAAGACTGGGGCACCGAGTCGTCTGGCAAGACTGCGGGCACCGAGTCGTCTGGCAAGACTGCGGGCACCGAGTCGTCTGGCAAGACTGCGGGCACCGAGTCAACTGGCGGAACAGCGGGCATCGAGTCAACTGGCGGAACAGCAGGCACCGAGTCGTCTGGCAAGACTGCGGGCACCGAGTCGTCTGGCAAGGCTGCGGGCACCGAGTCGTCTGGCAAGACTGCGGGCACCGAGTCGTCTGGCAAGACTGCGGGCACCGAGTCAACTGGCGGAGACAGCGGGCACCGAGTCGTCTGGCAAGACTGCAGGCACCGAGTCGTCTGGCAAGACTGCGGGCACCGAGTCGTCTGGCAAGACTGCGGGCATCGAGTCGTCTGGCAAGACTGCGGGCATCGAGTCAACTGGCAAGACTGCATCGAGTCAACTGGGCACGGGCACGAGTCAACTGGCGGAACAGCGGGCACTGACTCGTCTGGCAAGACTGCGGGCACCGAGTCGTCTGGCAAGACTGCGGGCACCGAGTCGTCTGGCAAGACTGCGGGCTCCGAGTCAACAGGCACGACAGTGGGCACCGGGTCATCAGGTATCGGATTGTCTGGCTCGACAGCGGGCATCGGGTCACCAGGTATGACAGCGGGCACTGGGTCACCAGGCATCAGGTCATTTGGCTTGCCAGCGGGCACCGCGTCATCTGGCAAGGCAGTGGGCACCGGGTCACCAGGTATGACAGCGGGCTCTGAGTCAATTGGCACGACAGCGGGCACTGGATCAGGTACCGGATCATCTGGATCAACAGCGGGCATCGAGTCAACTGGCCTAATAGGATCGTCGGGCTGGATCAGTTCATCATGCTGAGTAGCGGCATCAGGCTGAATGCAGGCTTCAGGCTGAGTAGAGGCTTCAGGCTGAGGAGAGGCTTCAGGCTGAGGAGAGGCATCAGGCTGAGGAGAGGCATCAGGCTGAGGAGAGGCATCAGGCTGAGGAGAGGCATCAGGCTGAGAGAGGCATCAGGCTGAGGAGAGGCATTCAGGCTGAGGAGAGGCTTCAGGCTGAGGAGAGGCTTCAGGCTGAGGAGAGGCTTCAGGCTGAGGAGAGGCATCAGGCTGAGGAGAGGCATCAGGCTGAGGAGAGGCATCAGGCTGAGGAGGCATCAGGCTGAAGAGAGGCATCCGGCTGAGTAGAGGCTTCAGGCTGAGTCACGGAAGGCAGGTTCACCGGTTTGGATACTGGCAGGATGGTATTGGTTGGAAAGAATTTTCGCTTTTTTTCTGGTTTTTTAACTACTGGAGCACTGAAAGTAAACGCAGGTCTGCAAACGAATGGAGCAGCTGGAGACAGAGAAAAACTGGAGGATGGAACAGGAGAGGGAGCAGTTGCTACAGAGGGCTTTTTTACAGGGTTAAAGGCAGGATAGGTGCAGCGAGTGGGAACAGGGTACTGACATGCGGTAGATAGCCAAGTATACTGGGCTGTAACTGGAGGAGCTGGTGGGAATACAGGAGTAGAGTTAGAAGCAGGACTGGGTTTTTGTAAGCTGACTGAGGCTGGGTGCAACAAGTCTGTCCATGTCTGCAGTAGGGGTTGAACAAAGCTGAGCTTACACAAAGCCTGTCTGGTCAATGACTGCACTGCGTTTATACAATCTCTTAGTGTCTGTGGTGAACATGTGGAATAACGCTCCAGAAAGTAACCCACATCATCCTCTAATAACCACACCAGGGACTCAACCTGGTCTGCACTAAATGGTGGCAAAAATTCATCCCTGCATTCGGGGGAACCAGATGAAACCAACTCAACACAAACCTGAATCAATGGCTGCACCATAGAGAAATCTGTGCCCTGATCTACTAGAACATGAGCAAGCCGTATACATTCTAGCAGTTCATCCCGGGGAGACTCCTTCAGAGTCTGATAAGCATACTCTCTGTCATCAAGCACTAGCAGAGATAAATACTCAACCTCATCCAGATCCATCCTTCCCATCAACAAGCCAAGATGGCTTCCCTGTGCAGCCACTTCTGGTCAGGATTGGCCTTGGTGTAATGTCAGGGCTCCCAGGTGTGACCAGAGATGTGTGACTGACGCAGGGAAACGCAGACCTCAGATATGTTATAAACAATATAATTTATTAACACTAACAATACAAACATAAACGCAGTGCAATACTAAAACATAATACAGTGCAAACAAACCAAACCAAACCACCCACAGATAACAGTACATACAAGCAAGCGTCGTCAGGCAGCCGGGTCAATATCAATAGGGCAGGTAGGTACAGGGGAGCAAGCGGAGATTGGTCAGGGTCACAAGCCAGGGATCAGAACAGGTAGCAAGCAGCGTGGTACAGAGGGTCAGACAGAGGGATGGTCAGGAGCGAGTCGGGATCAGAGCAGGAGAAGTCAGCAGCGGTTCAGAAACAGGATGCAGGACAGAAACAGGATGCAGGGCCCAGGACAAACACACACCAAGGCAGAGTCTGTGGGTCTGGCCATCCCTTAAATACCCCAGCATAATCAGTTACAGGTGTTAGCTGGCTGCAAAGTTGAGTCTCTGATTGCTGGGAACACCCGCTGGCCAGCCCCTGGTACTGCAGATCAAAAGGCAGGTGAGTCCCACCATAGCTGGCCAGTCCATTCCTGACACCACCTCTCCAGCGGTCAGGAATGGCCTGCAATGCGGAGTGGAACTGGGTGCAGTTGCCCACGTTAGTGGCCTTGCGGTGTTCGGCCCTGTCTGGGAAGAGCAACTTGGGCCCCTGTCACTGGTCAGTTACTCAGAGCCACCCCCCTGCTGGGGGACTTTAAAAAACAGTCTAGCAGGCCCTAAAGAGGAGTTAAAAGTCTTCTCCAAATTTTAACATCAATATACCACCTAGGGAGACCTTTCCCTCTGAAACGTGATCTGCTTCCATTCAAAGCTTAAATGGCAAGTAACTTAACCCTTTAACTTCTCCTATTATCTCTTTGCTGTGCTATGGTTCTTTGTGTTGAGTAATATATATATATGTCTTAGTTACATCTTTTTCTGTAAATATTTTATTGCACCTGTTTGACTCTTTTAGTAATAAATCTTTCTTTCTGAAAGTGTTAAACTGTTTCTAAAGCGCTTAATTGCAATTTACAAATTCCTGCCTCTAAAGAGACGCTACTGTGTTTGTCTAATCCTCTGCCCAATCGGCCTGCAGTGACCGTATTGGACAGACGACTTTTCAACCATTATAGTGTATATTTGATAAAGAGAGTTTCCTCTTTCTCTGTACAAATAGGGGTGGTGGCAGTAAAGGGTTAGTTGCGTAATTAACCCGACCCAGTAACAATCGTTCAGGCTGACGGCACATCGATGGGTTTGACCATTAGCTGTAAAATCGTTGTGCAGGGTGCAGTTGGGTTTGGTATTGTTACGCACGTCACCTCGCGGTTTTAGATCGGCCACTCCTTCGGTCACGAGTTTGGTGAGAAGGTCTGGGGTCTGACACCGCGATCGTGACACCATGTGTGCCTTCATAGCAAGCAGCTTGCTATAGGGACACATGAAGAAGAGGAGGAGTCAAGATCGCCAGTGGGGGACCCAAGAAAAAGAGGATCGGGGCCGCTCTGTGCAATACCACTACACAGAGCAGGTGAGTATAACATACTTGTTCTTTTAATTTAAAAAGTTTTTTTTTCTTTAACTTTAGTAACACTTTAGTAACACTTTAAGTAAGTGGATGGATTTAGTTATCTATGACTAAAAAAGAATAACAATAAAGGGACTTGTTTATCCTCTTATTGGCTTCACTTTTTTTTCCTAAAAAATATTTTTATTTAAAGAAGAAAGAAATCACAGGGATACAGTCACATATAGACATTAAACATTTGTGGTTACATATTGAAATGTACAGTTATCTCAGCTTCTCACCAACCCATCTGCCAATCTCAACTTTCAGTCACACAATAAATAAAATTTACAATTCTAGCAACTTTACAATGCCATCCACAAATCTTTCCCCAGCTACGTGCCTAACCCTGTCTCCAAATGAAAAAAAAAACACCACAGGATGAAAAATGAGGGAGAATGAGGATGGGCCATACTAGGTAGCATGCGGCCTTCAGTTATGTGAGTGGTAAGGAATAGCTGAAGGAATGTATTGGGGTATGGATGCAGATATAGGATGAAGAGATATAGATGTGGAAGTGGAAAATAAAGATGGGAGAAAGTGAGAGAAAGGTACAAGGAGAAAGGAAAGAGAAACAAAGATATGTTGGTAGGTTACCTAGCTCTGGTCTATAGTAGTCCAAATATGTGTATGTATGTGAGATAGGCAACTTAGATTGTAAGCTCATTGAGGGCAGAAACTGATGTGAATGTACAAAATGTAAAACATTGTGTACATTTTTGGGTCTATATAAATATCTGTAATAATATTATTAATTATAATAATGATGATAATAAAACGGAGAGCACAGCTAGATGTTATTAGATTTAGTTGCCTGACGAAGTGGAAGAGGCACAGATCAGGTAAATAGATAGACCCATTGGGGTTGCTTTACTAACACTTGAGAGTGTAAAATCTGGTGCAGCTCTGATTAGAAACCAATCAGCTGCCAAGTTTTTCATCAAAGCTTAATTGAACAAGCTGTAGTTAGAAGCTGATTGGCTAACATGCACAGCTGCACCAGATTCTGAGTGCTCCAGTTTTAGTAAATCAACCCCATTATTTCATAAAATAAAGTTCAAATATACGAAAATAGTAGGGAAGGAAAAAAACTGAAAAATGAAATAACTCTACATTAAATATTCTAAACTACCCAAAATACACCCTCTAAATTAGGAGAAAATTTTATTTTTTGCCACACAAATTTTGCTTAAGAAGAGGGAGTGAATTAGAGAATTTACAATTTGGCAAATTTTTGCTGCCAATGTAAATATTAATTTCACTATAAAACTAATTTTGCAGTGTCACTCTGTGCATTCTTATTCAGTTCTAACATGTCTAATCTTACTTTAATGTCTCAATGATTCTTTGGCTAGTGGAAATTGCAAACTGTGGGAATATTGATTTCATTTCATAGACATATTGTATGTTGAAGGAAGTGTTTTCTTTTAAATATGATTATGTGATTTGCATACTTTAACATACAATAATATTTTTTTTTTTGCATATATTTTGTCTGTATATTCATTTATATGCATTTGAAAGCATGTACACACCACTGAATTATGTTAAAATGCACACATATAAAATGGTGTCATGCATTTAAATTGTGTTAAAGAGCCCACATTTTTATTGACTGCCAAAGCTCTGCAGTGCACCTAAACCAAGCTTGCAAATGTTGTTTTTCTACAGTGAGTTGTGTTAAAGTGATACTAAAGGCTCAATTTTGTTTTCAATAAGAAGCATGTTATACTTACCTGCTCTGTGCAATGGGTTTGCAGAGAGCAGCCCCAATCCTCCTCTTCTCAGGTCCCCCGCATCCTTGCCTTCTCCCCCATTTGAGTACCACCCCTAGCAAGACACTTGCTGAGTGGTTACTTGTGCGGGCTTGCTTCCAAGCCCCTTTGGCTAAGACTATAGACACCACTACTTCCTCACTGACTGTGATTGACAGCAGTGGGAGCCAATGGCTTCTGCTGCTGTCTCTGAGCCAATGATGAGGCAGAGAGCCAGGACAGCAGTCACTCTCATGCACATCGTTGGATCAGGCTCAGGTAAATATTTGGGGGTCTGCATAGTGAAGGTGTTTTAGATCAGGTAAAAAAACATTCAGCCTTTACAACCACTTTAAAGACATTCTTGTTCTTTTGTGGCGTGAAAGAGATGTGTAAATCTCAAAATTGGATGGACAGAAGTACAAATCCTTTGACAGTTGAAAAAAAATTCTCTAGTACAGTATGTATTTCATCTATGTAGTTCTCTGTTTGCCTGATGTTCAGATTTAAGGGAGTGAAGTTCAGAAAGCAAACAATTGGTGATGGAATGAAAATGAAGATCATGGCGAAGAGGCATGTTGGATGCTACGAAGTCTGAAAGATTGAAGGTGCATGCAGTAGGGCAGAAACTTTGGACAGTTTTTTTGTACTGGCCCAAAATCTTTAGATTTTTGCTTCTGGTTTACAAGATAGGTAATTGAGAGTGCCAGACCTTACTTAACTTCTTCCCGTCTGGCCCATGGCGATAAACAGCCAGACCAGG